CAAAAAAATTTATTTATTTTTTTAAATTTTAAACTAGCCTGACTTCGATTTAATCATTAATCAGAAGATGAACAAACTAAAACTTATCTAAAAGATTGATGTAATTAAAATATTATATCAACATCACCAAGTTAAACGTGGCCCACTCACTCAATCATGAGTAGTCCTGGTATTAAACATCAAAATTATATATTCGGCTTGAGGTTCACTTACCTCAACTTAACCCAAATTACCCTGAACATAGGTGTGAGTGTGACAGTGACACATTGCACCATCTTTGTCAGGAATTATATATATATATATATATATATATATATATATATATATATATATATATATATATATATATATATATGATGTAGGATCTTTTGACACTAGTGTCAAATTGAAGTTTGACACCTCACCTGAGAGCCGTTAGATAAAAAGAGATCAATGGTGTCACATGCTTACAAATCAGAGTCGTCGATCTTTTTTTATCTAACGGCTCTCAGGTGAGGTGTCAAACTTCAAATTTGACACTGGTGTCAAACGATCTTACCTATATATATATATATATATATATATATATATATATATATATATATATATATGGATTTTATAAGAGTTATGTTGTAGGAAAATTGATTGTGTAATGTTATAGAGATTCGTTTTGCGTCCCTTAGTTTTTTTTTGTTGCTTTAAAAAGTGCGGGCTCCACAAAATGTTGTATGTGTAGGAAATTTTTTCTTATCATGTTAAAGGACAAACTAAAACCTCTATATATATGGTAAAATCATTTCTGCAGCCGCTTTACGTACAGCAACGACATGTGTATGATTATGATTCCCCACATTTAATGCTTTCATCCTTTGTATGGTTATGATTCTCCGCATTTAATGCTTTCGAGTATATATATGACAAGTATTTGATTGTTGCACGCAGAGGGGGACGTAAGGCAAAGAGAAAGGGGGCACGTGCCCACCCTTAAATTTTGATGAGAAAATACCACAATACCCTTCAATTAAAATTCAAATTTCCTCTTATTTTATTTTTCGCTTTTTCTCCTCCACGGCTCCACCCATGACCAGCGATTTGACCACCTCCATTAGACTAAATCCAAACCTAACTACCAAACAACAGAAGCAGTCATCGGAGACGGAGACCCAGACCCAGGTTTATTTATTTTTTCTCTTTATCTCTTGCCTTGCGTCTGCCTCTGTGAGGGTGGCATTGATTATTAATGATCTATAAAAAATATGTGGTGCCTCATAAATAGTAAAGTTTTAATTTTTTTAATAAAAACAGAATTTTCGTTTGTTGGCATATAACTTATCCTGGTAGTGAATGTTTTTGTGATGATTCATGGTAGAAACTCAAGGTTATGAGATTTTGGTTTTCATCTGAAGTTAGAAAGGCTACGATATGTGTCAGTGTGTTTGTGTGTGTTAATTTGAGGGGAAAAAAGTGTTAAATTGTTTTATGTATATGAAAATATCTCATGTAATTCTTTCTTTTTCTCTTGATTCAACGCGGAATACAATATCTCCCATGTGTATCATGCAATTCCTATATGTTTTTGAGTTCTTGTCTGTTTGCTTTTAGCTTGTTTAATAATTGTTAATTGTTAATTGTTTGCTTTTAGCTTGTTTAATAAGTCGTTGATTGCAGAGGCGGACGCAAGGCAAAGAGAAGGGGGGCACGTGCCCACCCTTAAATTTTGATGTGAAAATACCAAAATACCCTTCAATTAAAATTCAAATTTCCTCTTATTTTATTTTTCTCTTTTTCTCCTCCACAGCTCCACCCATGATCAGTGACCTGACCACCTCTGTTAGACTAAATCCAAACCTAACTACCAAACAGCAGAAGCAGTCATCGGAGATGGAGACCCAGCCCCAAGTTTATTTATTTTTTCTCTTTATCTCTTGCCTTGCGTCTGCCTCTGTGAGGGTGGCATTGATTATTAATGATCTATAAAAAATATGTGGTTCCTCATAAATAATAAAGTTTTAATTTTTTTTAATAAAAACATAATTTTTCGTTTGTTGGCATATAACTTATCCTGGTAGTGAATGTTTTGGTGATGATTCATGGTAGAAACTTAGGGTTATGAGATTTTGGTTTTCATCTGAAGTTAGAAAGGCTACGATATGTGTCAGTGTGTTTGTGTGTGTTAATTTGAGGGGGGGAAAAGTGTTAAATTATTTTATGTATAATAATACTTTGCACATCAACTTCAGTTAGCTTGTGCTAAAAAGGTTTACGCTTTGACTGACTTCTTTAATTTCATACTGTTGTTGTGTAATGCAGTTGGTGCTTCTTGCAAAAGAGCATATATTTTGAGAGAAAAGCAATTTGATGAGATAGTCAAAAGTATTGCAAGCGATGATGTTCAATCAGGGAGAGGCTTGAATCAAGAAATGAGTTTGTCACCACCAGGGGACACACGTTGGAGCTCACATTACCGATCATTGGTAAGTCTGTGTACATTGTTTGATCCTGTGCTTGATGTGCTAGAAATTATAAAAGACGATACAACCCTTATGCATGCAAAAAGGTCTGAAGCCTCTGGCCTTATGATGCGTATGCAAACTTTTGAATTTGTATTACTTTTGTACCTGATGATCAAGGTCTTGGCAATAACTAATGAGTTGTCACAATCACTTCAAAGAAAAGATCAAGATATTGTAAATGCTATGACTCTTGTAAAAGTTTCAAAGGTGTTATCACAGAAGATGAGGGATAATAGATGAGATAATCTATTTCAGAAGACTTCTGAATTTTGTATAAAACATGATATAGATATCCCTAATATGGAAAGTGTACTTACATGACCAATTACTCATCTGCATCACTTTAAGGTTGACATATTTTATGCAGTGACAGATACTCAACTTCAAGAGTTGAATGATCGTTTTAGTGAAGTTAGTTTGAATTTGCCGGAATGCATGGCATGTTTAAATCTGTGCAACTCTTTCTCGGCATTTGACAAGAATAAGTTGTGTGAATTTGCTGGCTTTTATCCTTTGGATTTTGATTTGAATGATTTTGTCATGCTTGAATATCAGCTCGACACGTATTTTTTTGATATGCAAAGTGATCTTGATTTTTTGAATTTGCAAGGAATAACTGATCTTGCCAAGAGGATGGTTGAAAAGAAAAAACATATTGTGTATCCTTTGGTTTATTTACTTGTAAAGTTAGCATTAACTTTGCCCGTAACAACTGCATCTGTGGAAAGAGCATTTTCAGCTATGAAATACATCAAGACTGCACTTTATAATCGGATGGGGGATGAATGATTGTTTAGTGCCATATATTGAAAAAGATGTATTTGATAGCATTGATAATGAGACAATTATGATGGAATTCCAAAAAATAAGGCCTAGAAGAATGACATTGTAATTATTTTTATTATAATATACTTTTGTTATTAAAATATATTTATTTGAACATATTGTGTGCCCACCCTTCATCAATTTCCTGGATCCACCACTGCTGCACGTACAGCAGCTGCAGAAATGTAAACTCCTATATATATATATATATATATATATATATATATATATATATATATATAAGGGTAAACATTTTTACAATCACTTTAGATAAAGTTATCTACAGCTACCCCAAAAACTACGTCGTTTTGATTAATAAAAGGTGTTTACGTAATTTTAGGTGAATTAACGAAAAGTATTTCAGTAAAATACTTATGATAAAAAGATAAACAAAATTACTGAAATAATTTTGGATTATTGCTTTTTCTTTAATTGAACAAAAGGAGATAAAGTTCAAAACTTTATCAAATTTTGTTTTCTGGGTACATGTTATTCGAGGAATAATAAATGAATGTAATTTTTTTTTCTAAGTTTTGTTATTCAAAATATATATACACTGAGTTGATAAGCATATAATGCCATAATGGTATTCATTAAAAAAAATAAAAATTTCTTATTAGGCGATGAGTAGCCAAGAAATTCTCACACTTCATCTGACTGTTATTATCTAGCATCACGGAAAAGTGTGTTTTACCTGAAAATGTAAAAATTCAGAGCCTCGGGGAACCAATTGTATTGACAAAAAAGGTTGTGAACGCAGCTTTGGTACTATAAGACATTTTTGGATTCACCACACGTCCACACCCATGTCCGAACGTTAATTAAGATATTGAAACCTTTACATGAGAGTGTTAAACGACGTCAGATAAACGCCAAAAGTACAGTAGCCACCCCCAGCAACACGAAAATATTTATTATGCTAACAAGTACTCTCAAACAACACACTCGAAAGCTGGTCCACAAAACTCTGCATTAGTCTTCCATACGTTTGGTCAATCGGTTATCTCCACGTGGCATGTGCTCCACTACGTGGACCCTCACCTTCTCGAACAAATTTTTGGTGCTACTGTAGCACCAAAGATTCAATACATTCCATCAATAAGAATATTACATGATAGCTAAAGTTTTATTTTCTCTTGACAATTTTTTTCTCTCTCATATAATATGTAATGCTCTCATTGATGAGATACACTGAATCTTGGTGCAATAGCGCCAAAGATTTATTCCACCTTCTCCAACCCGTGTCACCAGTTTGATGCCTTGAGCTACCAACATTCAACAACTACCCTGATTGTATAAGAATTTTGGGTTATTGCTTTTTCTTTAATTGAACAAAAGGAGATAAAGTTCAAAACTTTATCAAATTTTGTTTTCTGGGTACATGTTATTCGAGGAGTAATAAATGAATGTAATTAACTTTATTTTTTTTTGTTCTAAGTTTTGTTACGAAAGTCTATTCAAAATATTTATTATGTCATTAATGGACTTCATTATGATGGGTGCTGAAAAAAGTTGAACTTCTTTCTGCAAACTTCAACAATTTAAACAAAAGGTTGCTAGAAGGTTTGTGTCTTTTTTTCTTTTTTCCTTTTCTTTTTTAATGTTCTTGTCTTTTGTTTAACCAACCTCTATCTATATGTTCTTGTGTATATCAGAGTGATCAGAGGCAGAGATATTTATGTTATGGGGGCATGTGTGTCAACGACTCAAGGGTGTGTGGGAGGGAGGTTGAGCTTCTCCAAGAAGAAGTTTCGGAAGAGGAAGAGATATGGACTCAGAAGAAGAGTGTATTCTCGGTTTTCCAAGGGATCATTGGACAAGGTTGATATGCTTGGCTTGCCTGATAGCTCCTTTGTCAACCCCATTATCCAAGGTTCATACTTTTATTTTTTGTTTTTGACTTACATTTCTGTGAAATGATTTTTTGGATGGGAGGTTTTAAATGATATAAGAGAATGATGTTTGTGTTTTATAATTGCATTTTGCTATTTGATTTTATGCTTTTGGTTAGGAATTGTTGTAGGCGGAGACAATGAAGTTTATCTCTAAGCATGTAATGGAATAGTTATGCGATGTAGAAGACTGAGATAACTATTAAGTACTTTAAAAGTTATGATCATTGAATGACTAATGAAGATAGATGTTAATAATTGTGCTGCTTAAGCATAGAAGTTTGCAGCAATTCTGTTTGATTTTTTTTTGCTTTTTTTTTTGTGTGGAGACATTCTGTTTGATTTTTAGTTCTGATGATAGCTGAATAATTGATTAAGAGGCTGTAGTAGGACGAAATCATATTATTAAAGTCCAAGTTAAAACCGAAACATACTAAATCACTTCCTTTCACTTTGATATAATGTCTGCATTTGTGCTTATGCTATGTTAAAAGGCTTAGCCGGGTTTTTAATAGATTGGATTAAACTAATGTTTTCTTTTCTATATGGAGGGAGGTGTTGAAATGCAATTTTTCTTTTACCAAGAATGAACATAATAAGCCTTCTAGTGGAAGTGGTACTTAAAACTAAGCATTGGTTACTGGATTAGGTCCTTATCATCACAGACATCAAGTGTTTGCTGAATCAGAATGTTAGAATAGTATTAGTTTAACCCTCTGAAGAAGTTTAAATGTAAATTTGGAAATGGAAACTGAATTAACAAGTTGATATCTATTTCTTTGGATTTCATTTCAGTTCTCTAGCCCTGTAGATCTATTCCATATTGCCATCAGCTGGTATTTCCTTTTTGTACTTCCTTTCACAGAATTCTGGATGTTATTGGAATGTTAATCTATGGCTGCAGGAACTATTGAAGAGGCATGGTTTGATTCAGCTACGGTATTTGACTCTGACTGTGACGATGACTACCTTAGTGTTCCTGATGGTATTTTGATGTTTTTTAAATTTAGATATGTTTTAATTTTACTTTCTATGCTTTCACGGATTAACCTTTGCCAATACATGGTTAAATACAATTGATATCTGCAGATGTGGTATCTCTGAATGGGATTGAAGCCAACCGCGGAGTTTCAACCGATCAGGTGCATAAACCAGGGGAGTTATCAACTGGATATTCTGTACATATCTCCGAGGCTATCAGAATTTCGGATGCTGAATTTTTTGATCTCGATGTCATGGATTCTCAATGTAAATGTGATGGAAGTGTAAATGAAGTAAATGAACCTGTTTTTCTTGATGAATTTTCCATAGTTGGAGCAAGCTCCGACAAAGATGATGGACTTTTGGACAACTGTGGGATTCTTCCAAACAATTGTTTGCCATGTCTTGCATCTACCCTTCCTTCTAGTGAAAAAAGGAGATCAAGTTCTAGTCCTTATAATTCAAGGAAGAAGGCTCCTCCGAAACTTTCCTTTAAATGGAGGGAAGGACAAGGGAATGCTACTCTATGTGAGTTGAAATTCTTGAAACAGAATTATTACCATCCATGAGACTCTCTCATTTGATATATATATATATATATTACATTATTAGTTATGATTCAGCTTCAAAGTCTTGTCTAACAGCTACAAGAAAAACTACATTTTGTCATATAGAATGTAGATTAAGGGTCTGTGTGTTTAAGCTTTATTATGTTTAAAAGAAAAAAAAAAACTTTTTTAATCAAAAAATATGTCTAAATTTTTTATGATAATTGGATAACTTTTTTAACCAATGTTTGGATAATTGGATAAATTGGAAAAAAACTCTTAAAAGAAACAATGTCATAGCAATTTTTTTCAAAGCTCATCCAAATGCACCCCTAATTTCTCCTCACAATGCTAAAAGATGGTTTTGTGGATTCTTGTTTTTTCCTGAAGAATTCATCATATAGTGCAACAATGAGTAAATAATGTTTGTTATCCCTTTTTCTTTTGTTTTTATTGTTTTCAGTTTCCTCAAAGACGCTTCTACATAGACCAATTGCTGGTTCCCAGGTACCCTTTTGTCCAAGCGAGAAGAAAATGCTTGATTGTTGGTCATACATTGATCCAAGCACTTTTAAAGTTCGAGGAGTAAATTATTTTAAGTAAGATTCTGTCTGTTATTTGTTTTAAGAATACATCAAGTGTAAATAAATGCCTTAATAGTGTAAACTATGCAGTTATATTTAGATTTTTACATGCATATCCATGGACCAAATTATGTTTGACTTGGCTTTTTTTTTTTTTCAAATTATTTTTATTGCAGGGACAAGAAAAAAGACTTTGCTGCAAACTGTTCTGCATACTACCCAATTGGTGTGGATGTATTCTTATCTCCACAAAAAGTAGACCATATAGCTCGGTTTGTGGAACTTCCGGTTATTAGTTCTTCTGGGAAACTTCCATCCATACTTGTTGTAAATGTTCAGGTACTCCTATTTTTCTACTAAAATATAGCTATCCTTTTACCCTTGTTGCTAAGAATTGTTTTAATACCAAAAGTGGACTCCTAGCTACATTCTAATCCATATCTATCTATTTACCTTTGCCTGACCGTGGCACATTGTCACTAGAAATTTCTATAAACCTCTTCTATGTTTTTATCTACAGATTTTTATGTGATAAAAAAAAATTTAATGGTTCTTTTTTTCATATGTACTAATGTTTTTGTGGCTGCATCAGATTCCGCTTTACCCTGCCACACTATTTCAAGGTGAAACTGATGGGGAAGGAATGAGTTTTGTGTTGTACTTTAAACTTTCTGAAAGTTACTCCAAGGAACTTCCACTGCATTTTCAAGAAAACGTGAGAGTAAGATGGAGCATTTATGCACTCAGTTTATCCTTTAATATCACAGAATACATCCTCTTCAATTCCTTGATTGTTTCTGTATGTCTGTTAATTTGGTGGAAGCTCAATCACTTAATGTGGCTGACTTCTTGTGTGTTTCTGATGAAGTAACATGTGTCTATGCCTTTATACAGAGATTGATGGATGATGATGTTGAGAAGGTAAAGGGTTTTCCTGTAGATACAGTTGTACCCTTTCGGGAAAGGTTGAAAATATTGGGCCGTGTTGTCAACCTTGAAGATCTTCATTTGAGTGCAGCAGAACGGAAGCTTATGCAGGCTTACAATGAGAAACCTGTTCTTTCGCGGCCGCAACATGAATTTTACTCAGTAAGTTTCACTGTCTTTATACAATGGTTTCTTTCAATAGACCTATAACTATGCTGATGATGAACAATACTTGACATTATTCTAGACAGTGCAAACATGCATTACTATCACTAACTGTCATTATGGTTCTTATATCTCCATTTATTCACACAATCTCATATATGATACCATCTTTAATATCTCCAATGAATGATTTATGTTGTCTTAATTATAAAATGGTCCTTTGATCCTGTATGTGTCAATATCCATGTCAGTTCTATGAATTTTTATGACAATTAGTGCCTCCAGGATATTTCTTCAATGTAAGAGTTGATCTAGGAGTTAATTCTCAAAAGGATCATCAAACCTAGAAAATGAAATTGTGTATCACTACTTAAAGATTTAAAAGTGAACATATTTTGGCCTGTTTGGATTTGATTTTGTTTTTCTATTCTTAAAAAATGTTTTGTAATACAAATCTTGAAAACTGATTTTGAAAATTAGAGAACAAGAAAACTTGTTTAAATATAATTGGATCGAAAGCTGTGTTACGATAATTTTATTGGGAGTTTTCTTGATCATCTCTCCCCCTATGCTGTAACCATTGCTGCTGATGTGAGGCTTCAATTCTCAAATGACAAAGGAACCATTGGATTAACAGGGTGACGAAGACTTCAATCTAAAGTTGAAAAGAAGTTTGCTTTATTTACCAGAATGACATTAATGAACCTTCGTAATCACAAGACTGCCTCCACAAAAACAATAAAACCAATAAGGGTTCATCTGATACATGATATAAGATTTTGTCACCTTTTATAACTATGTATTATAAGGAGTACATAATAATAATATTAAAGTTGTTTTTTTTTTCTCTCTCCATGCCACTCGACAAGTTTCTGAAGAGAGAAAAAAAAATATTAATATTATAACTATGTACTTCCCAAAGTACATAATTATAAGGAGGTGACCGGACAAAACCTTATATCATGTGCAGTACAACCAATAAGCAATATTTGAGAATGTCTTTAAGCATTTCTTTAATTTTGGTTTTAAAGGCTAAAAAACCAGTTATTATTTTGAGTCATTTTCATAAAACAAGTTATTTATTTATTTTTTCTTAAACCTAAAAAACTGTTTTTGGAAATAGAAATCAAAGAGGCCCTTTGTACTTTCTGTGGCCTCCTTCCTCTGGTTTATTCATTATAATACAATTTTGGTTGTTTCTGTATGGTACCTTTATCTTTGGCCCGCAATTTATAGTGGTGTCATCTCATTCAAAAGATACTTGATATCCACATGCAGATGCAGTACCTTATTTTCTAATCTTCTTTTTGAATAAAATAACCAATATGCTTCTTTTTTTTTTTAGGGAGAAAATTACTTTGAGATTGATTTGGATATGCATAGATTCAGTTATATCTCAAGGAAAGGTTTTGAAGCTTTTCTAGAAAGATTAAAGATTTGCGTTCTAGATGTTGGCCTCACTATTCAGGCAAGTAGTTTTTCTAATGCCAAAATCAAATACATTTTCCTTTCGATAAATTTATGCATAGAAGCTAAAAGTTCTGAAGCTCCTACTGATCATTTTTCTCATATTTGCATCATAAAATAGGGGAACAAAGCAGAGGAGCTTCCAGAGCAGATTTTATGTTGCATTAGGCTAAACGGCATTGATTACATGAATTACCAGCAACTGGGGCTAACTCATGGTCCCCTTTAACATAGTTGCAAAAGCATTTGTTATCTTACTATTATGATTAATGATGGTCATTTCAAGATGGGTTTATGTGGCATCTGTTTGTGTTGGTGTAGAGGTTAAACTTGTTTGTCATGAATGATGGGAAACAAGCGTGTTATTATGATGGGTCACTGGCACAAGAATTCAAATGTGGACCTACCCTTAAATAAAGGACAGGAGGGTCCATCCACACAATTACTCATTTTTTAAACAAATTTATTCTAGCTAGGAAATTAAGATACTTTTTTAAATATCAGGTTTTTAAATGTTTTAATGATCCACAATTATCATTAAGTTATTAGTAAATTTTATGATACTTTTTATACTCAGCTTCTAAAGCACCTAATTTTTTTTCCATGTTTTTTGGGGAATGAGATACACAATAATCAATAATGCTACTTGCATACAGAAGATCCATGTTTCTAGTTTCTATTGGTAGAAGGGAACGTGGAAGAATTAATGGAAATAAGAGATATAACATATTCCTAGTGAAATAAGTGAATGCTCAATTTTTCTGGTTTTACACCAAACAAAAAGCAAATGCTTCAGAATGATAGCCAGACTAGTTTTAAGTGGCACTGCATTTGACAATACTCAAACTTTACAAGGACTCAGAGGCTTTCCACATAAACCTTTATTTCCAGAATAAGAACTCTCAGGAAAGTCAATCAAAGGTTTACCATATGGAATTTCCCCTTCAAGAAGATTGCCAGATAAATTCAATTCCTTCAGCTTTATCAACTTGAGAAATCCGTTTGATATATTACCAGTGAAGAGATTTTCCTGCAGTTTCAACCTCTCCAATGAGGTTAAATTTGCCAGCTCCTCTGGCAAGTTAGACCCTAACTCATTGAAGCTCAAATCCATACTTTGAATAGAGTTCAGTCTCCCAATGGAATTTGGTAACCTACCTTTCAGAAGGTTATGAGACAAATTCAGAAACTGAATATTACGTTGCCCTCCTACACCAATTTCCTCAATTCCACTTGTGAAGTTGTTATCAGAAAGATCAATAAACGTGAGTGATCTCCCAGAATTACCTTGTTCCATGTCAAACACTCCAGCTATGGAGCCTGTTAGCCTATTTGAGTGAAGATCAAGAACACCCAAATCTTGCAAATTCTTAAAAGAATCAGGGATGTATGAATAGAAAGAGTTTCTTGAGAGATTTAACATGTAGAGTTGACTGAGGCTTCCTATCCATGATGGTATGCTTCCACTCAGAAGGTTCATTGACAAGTCCAGTTCCTGTATTGGATTATTGGTTGTTTGGAAAATGTCTGGAATTTGACCCTGGATTCCACAACCTGCTAAGTAAATGCTGGAAAGTGATGACATGCTTGGTATCCAATCTGGGATGGCAGAGAGATTCAGATGGTTGAAAGAAAGATCAAGTGTTTGAAGATTTTGAAGGGAAGATATCTCTTGGGGCAATGGCCCTTCAATCAAATTTCTAGAGATGTTCAACATTATGAGCTGAGAAAGTTGGCCTATTGATTTTGGTATTTGGCCAGATAAGAAGTTGGCACTGAGATAAAGCTCAGTCAATGATACCAAATTGCCCAAACTAGATGGTAGTGCTCCTTCAAATTTGTTGTTTGATAATGAAACTCTTTCAAGAGATACCAGATAGCCAATATTGGAAGGTATATTTCCAACAAGGTGATTATTATGGAGTCTTAAGAATCCTAGGGAAGACATTTCACCAGATCTTGAGGGAAATGGGATGGTTCCCTCAAGATAGTTGGTGTCAATGTACAAAACTGAAATGGCAGTTAAGTTGGTCAGTGAAGAAGGTATCTTCCCGCTTAACAAATTGTTTGAAAGATCAAGCTTTTCAATAGCCTTCATCTCACCAACTCTATTGGGTATATTACCCGTAAGAGCATTGTCATGAACATCCAATTCAACCAAATTTATCAAATTCCCAAGTGAGTCTGGTATGGTACCTGAAAATTGATTTGAATAAAGCAGCAACCTTTTGAGATTCTTTAGGCTTCCAATGCTCATAGGGATAGACCCAGAAAGCCTATTTTCCTGCAGAGACAGTTCTTGTAGGTTTTGCAACTCTCCAATGTTTTCTGGTACTTGGCCAGTTAAGTTGTTGCCATAAAGGGAGAGCTTGTAGAGCTTTGGCAGGTGCAAACCAATGTTCTGTGGAATTGTTCCACCAATACCAACTAAACCACCAAGATCAATGACTTCAATGGAGGTGAGGAGAGTTATAGAAGGTGAAAGCCACCCTATCATCTGTGTTTGAAATAAATCATTATCTGTGGAAATTAATCCTGGGAGATTGATCTCTATCACTTTAGAGGTTGCATTTTCACATACAATACCTTCCCAATTGCAGCATTTCTGACCAACCCACTTTGCTATGCGACCAGAAGTGTCCATTTGAATTCCATTCTTGAAACTCATCAAAGCTTCCAACTCATTGGGACTACAAGCTTCAATGGACCAACTTGTGTCTCCAAATGCTATTACAGTCAACAGTGCAACTACCTGTAGCAGCTGATAATCCATGTTGCTCTAGCAAATGGAGGTGGTTCTGCTCTCTTAAGAATGTTGGCTTGGATTTCATTTTGAGAAATAATTCATAAGGCACAGATAAGAACAAAAAAAAAAGTATTTGCTCAAGATCTAACTTTTTCTTTTTGATCACTTTTCCCTATTTTTTTATGCTGAAAAGCATATGTGTCGCTGGGTCATGATGTCCTTAATAATGCTTGGAGCCATTGAATTCAAAGACTGGCCCATCCCACCTGATTAACTTGATAAGTGGCAGAAATCTCGTTCTACAGGTTTTTTTAATATTGAACTAAACCTGCTCCAATGTGTGTTCCAGAGATGTAGGAGCCATTTGTTGAAAGAATGAAGCTGCATCTCGAACGTAGCAGTTGTAAACCAATCTTTCATATTTTAAAGGTTATAACCTCACTGTCAATATTGTATAAAAAAAAGAATAACAGGTGACCAAACCCTTGCTATGGTTTAATCTGTTGATGGTGGCAGTTTCGTAGTTGTTCACTTTGGAAGTTTGTCAACTTTCTGGTTATTTTAATATTCTTCCTCTACGTACTTTGATGTTGTGACCTCAGAAGACGGTTCCTTTTTTGCAAATTTTATGTACTTCAAGACTTAATTTATGTCCTTGGTTTGAAATTCCAAGAGGTATTTTAAATTTGTCAGCCTTATTTACTCCTTCACTGCACCCTTTTATGCTTTTTTTTTTTTTGTGGTGAATACTTTTATGCATATTATTGCAATTTAGAGTACCAATGATATTAATAGTGACTCAAACAAACACAAACACAAGTCACAAGCTGTTAAGGTTAGACTCGCGAGAACATGCTTTTTATGGAAAAGATCAAAATGATCAGCATTTCTTTCTAGCTCATAACTTAGAAGAAGTATTCGCAGGTTCTTTTCTTCACCAAATACTGTTAAGAATCTGTTGCTGCTGGTCAAATGGTTGAAAAGACAAGCTATCAAAAGGTAATTGTGTATGCTCCGCAGGACCACAATCACATGTTATGCTGCAACTTTTCTTGGTAGAATCAAGTAGCAATGTAAGCATAAGCACATAATCTTACCGTTACAGAAAGCAAAATCATTGTTATCATTAATCTAACCAATGTTTGGTTTTAGTGCCCCAAGTTAACTCTCTTTTAATAAACGATTTCACTTCAAATCAAACTTCAGGAATTAAGTCATGGAAAAAATTTCAAAGATGTAAGTTGAGAAGGAGCTACACTTCAAGGCCTTTTTGGTGTGACGTATAAGGCCTGATAGTATAAGCTTATATTATACGTTATGACATTTTCAGTTGTTTGGTGTGACCATCGTATAGGATAAGCTTATACAGCAGGATCCCTTAATACATTGAAACGATGTATAACTTAATCCGACCTAAGAGAGATGGATAAGGCCTGATAAGAGGTTGATGTATTAATTTCGTTGACTAGTGTAATTCTAAAAAATTAATATATTATTTTAATATTAATATTTTAATAATTTTTCAATATATTAATTTTTAAAATATTGAATATTTTTATTTTTATAAAAATTAATTTGTTTTGGACACTGATCAATAAATTTTTTATAAAAATTAATATTATATGATATATTTTGAAGAACTATATAAATTCATTATTAAAGGATATTTTTATTAAAAATTTATTTTTATACTATATAGTATTATACAGTGCCTTACCAAATACTAGATGATATTATCTTATACAATATATTATTTTGTACAATATTATATCAAACGCTGGATAGTGTTAAAATTCAATCAGGTCTTATACAATCAGACCTTATACTATCAGGTCTTATCCTATACTATGCACCAAACATGCCCTTAGGGAATGATGTTGCGGGCCAGACGAACCCGCACCCAACTCAGCAACCCACGTTCGACGGACCCAATGAGAAAAGGAAGACTGGGCAGCCCAAACATTTCTCTGATTATGTGATGGGTTAAGTTGCACACTTGGATTTCAAGTCCTTTATTTTATTCCAATTATTATTACACTTAAGCCCAATACTGAAAATTGGGGTGTGCATAGTGGTGTAAATAGGTTAGGCTTTGGCTTAAATTGACCAAGATCGGATCTGGCCTGATTTGTTAGCCTGTGTATGTCCCAAATTACAAGTCTGGCCTGACTTATGTTTAAAAAATAAAAGCGTTAGCCTAGATTTGTTAGCCTGTTTAAGCCTATTAAACATTCAACAATTAAAAGAATAATTAAAATAAAATTACTTTATAATTCAAAATTATTAAAATAATAATTTTATTTATTTATTTAAAATAAATAATATGATATATGCCAGCCTGTAGGCTTATAGGTCAGATATGTACAAAAAAGCCTATGACCTGTTTTCTAAATAGGTTTTTTAAAAAGTCTAGGCCTATTTTATTTTATTATTTGTAATAGGCCAAGTTTGGCCTAATATAGGTTAGGTCGTAGGCCCCTGTAGGCAAGCCTAGTTCATTTACACCCGTAGGTGTGCATGGATCGAATTGAACTGAATTTTTTGAAAAACCGAACCGAATTGATTTAAACGGTTCGGTTCGAAAATGATTCGATTTGATTCAAAACCGATTCGTTTCAGTTCAAAACATATTCGGTTCAGTTCAAAAATGGTTCAGTTCGGAATTGGTTCGGGTCTACCCTATTCTAAAAAGAAAAAACAAGAAAAATTAAAGAAATAAAGTAATAAAAATCAGTTCGGTTCGAAAACGGTTCGGTTCTTGAACTGGTTTTTAAAAATGAGTTCATGAGGGTGATGGGAGCGTAGTTCATTTCTGAATTCATAAGATATTATAGGAACAGTCAAGAGGGTGAAAATATTGATCCCAAGACGTACCATTCTTTTCTATTGAACTTATCTATCTTAATCATCATTTTACCAATCATTTGACACATTGAGAATGCTACAATTGATCTTGTTTCCTTTGCTACACTACTTTTTGTGCAATGTTCCTGACGAAATTTTTTTGCTCTTAAGTTTGTTGTTAATTGTTCACGTTCCAATTCTAATCCTCTTTCAATTCTATTTAGATTGGTTAACTTTGTTTAACTAGCTGATAGCAAGTGTTCCTTGGTGAATCCTGACTTAGAACGAGTGCTCCTTACTTTTAGCCATTCTTTAATTTCTTTATTATCTTTCTTTTAAACGCAATTTTTACATTTGTTCTCTGAAGACGATAATATGGTGCTTATATGAAACCCTATATTACTTGATGCGTACGCTTACACAATTTGGATAGATTTGTTTTTTTTAATGATTCATTGCTCCTCGTAGAAAATAGTTGCTCCCCACGTATTTTGCTCCCACATTTCCTCGAGCATATCTCGGCCCAACAGTAACCATAAATCTCAGGTTGGTATTCTTCATTATAAATACCAAAAAGAAATTTATATAAGGTTGGATACTACGCTCAAGGAGCAAACCAATGTTTTATAAATTTATGAAGTAGAAAAAAATGGTACATAAGCACAATAAAATGAATTTTTCTGCTTTGACTTCATGTAAAGATCTCATCTATTTAATGTTTATCAAAATAAATTTTAACATGAGCCTTTTCTGAGGAAAAAAGCTACAATACTAATGTCGTATTTTTAACCCACCAGTAGGAGCATAATACATTAGCTGACATGTTTTTTAAAAAGAGAAATAAAAAAAAATAACTTTAATATTATAACTATGTATTTTTTGAATTATATAATATGTAATTTCATTTTAAATGATAGTTTCGTCGACTAATTAGTACGGGAGTAATCCTGAAAATGCTCTCGAATATGAGAGGGGTGGGGGATAGACTTTGACACAAAGCTTGCTAGGGAAGTTTTGCCTCTATTCGGGGAAAATATCTCCTACATTCCCGTCCGTTTATCAAAATTGAAAAAAGAAATAACTAACTTTACTTATTTTATCCACATTTGAGTCTCAATTTTTTTCCTTTTCAAGTAAAGGAGTATTTACCTACGTTGTATCGACACCGATACGGGATACACGACACGATACTACACGTTAATTTTAAAAAATTAAATTTTGATACTTCAGGATATATTTTGATATTAAATAATATTTTTAATATATAATATAATTTATATTTAACGTGGCAGTCCATAATAAGTCATGTAACCAATCAAATATTTAAATTCCACAATATAAAAATACAGCAAAAATAATTTTTCATGCCTCGTTAAATTTTCATGTCAAATTCTATAATAGAAAAATATTTGATTTATAAATTAAATTTTCATATTTAGTTAAAAAGATAAAATAAAATAAAATTTGGTTCTGCATAAATGTTAACTGTATGTCAAAATTTGTCAGAGCATATCAGTATCCGAAACATATCCAACATGCATTTTTCACAAAAAAAAAAAAAAAAACTGGTATCCGTACTTCATACATAGTTACTACTCGTTTAATATCAAAGATATGTTGTGTTGGTGATTTTTTAATTGATCACTGTGCCACAAGTGGTGTCAACTATTTATGTTGTACCGAACACTGACACGAGATACGATATGATACTTAGATACATTAATTCTAAAAAATGTTAAATTTTGACACGTTAAAACACGTTTTGATATTACATAATATTTTTAATTTATGTAGTATATATTATATTTAATATTCAATAATTTGACAAAAAAATGAAGCTAAACTTATAATATTCATCAATTTTGTAAATAAACATAAGATATCTCGTATATTTATTTTAAACTCAATAGAATGAGAATCATAATCTAACGAATCTAATAGTTAGAATTAAAAATACAATGTAACGCAACCTTCAAACCCTTTTTTGAGTATCTGCAACGCGTATTGGAGAGTCGGAGAGTGTTGAGAAGTGTCAGACACTACATGTTAAGTAATTTGAAGTGTCGGAGCATCATAGTCAAGTATTACCATTTCTATAAATAATTTCTTTTGTGGTACCAAAAAATATTATTTGTTAACACTCTATCTTGTCCAAGTCATTAAAAAAGAGTCAAATAATTAATTGAGATGAAAAAGATGATAACAGGGCCATCGTATTAGAAATTGTTACTTGAAATTGACAGGTCCAGATGGAAAAGGAATAATAGGAGAAAATGTTTTTAATATTATAAAAGATAATTTTATCTTTTACATATATATAAAAATGTATAAGATGTATTTTTTTCTATTCTCTTCATATAGGGCCTATACAATTTTATGTGTATAATAAAATTATTTCCTAATTAATTCATATATTATTATTTGAGTTTTAGATTACTTCAGAAAGTTATTAAATAATGATAAAATAAAAAGTAAAAAGAGCGTTGAATTCGTTTTTGATCCAATTAAATTTTTCTTGTGCTTTTTAAAATCATTTTTTTTATATAAAAAATAAAATAACAAAATATATTTAAAATAAATTTTAAAAGTGAAAATATTTATTTTGGTTATTCTATTAAAAATTAATTTTATCAATTTAATATTTAGTAAATTTTAAAATTAAATTTTATTAAAAATGAAGCAAAATGAATTACCAAAAGGTTAATTTTATTATTCTTTAGGACTTTTATTGCAGTGGGGCCTTTGGTCCTTCTTCCCCAAACACTGAGAAGTTCTAAGCTTCGATACCGTGAGAGTAGCCGCGTCCACTAGATAGTTTTCAAATTGAAGACGAAGGAAAAGATAAGATCTTTTTCTCAAACACCACCACCTCTGAGGTTTGCTTGCACCTTATCCTTCCTCAGAAATTTATCTATTTATTTATTTATTTTATTTATTTCATTCTAATCCTCATATTTTCCATTTGTTAAAACACAGTAATTATAATCCTCGTATTGTGTTAGGTTTCTCGTGACAGAACCACACCAAAGGTTGTTGCTTGAGTAGTTATAATCCTTGTAGATTTGAACTAACGATGAAGAAGCATCACCCCATCCACATCACTGTATTGGAAATTTCAAAACTTGGGTGATGGGTTTTTCTCTTGCACATGAAGAGAGCAACAATATCCTCCTATTTCCATTATTTTCATCATCATCATCATCATCATCAACGATGCTTGAGTGTGAAATTGTTCTCTTCTTCTTCTTTGGGTTCAAGTTCAACCAGTACAAGACCTTTTCCTGATTACTCCCCAAGAAAGCCTGCAATCAGAGACACTGAGCTTGTGCACCACATATCCACAGCCATCAAGCAACGCCGTTCCGAGCCTCTTCGCCGCATTCTTAAGCCTTATGAATCCAAGTTTAGGCCTGACCATCTTATCTGGGTTCTTATGGACATCAAGAATGACTATAAACTTGTTTTGGATTTCTTCAACTGGGCACGCTCTCGTAGGGAAACTACATTGGAAGCCCTTTGCATTGTGGTTCAGATTGCTGTGGCTTCAAAGGATCTGAAAATTGCACACAGGCTGATTTTTGAGTTCTGGGCAAAGCCCCATTTGGATGTTAGTCATTCTTTTGCTCATTTTACTGAGAGGTTGATATATACTTACAAGGACTGGGGTGCACATCCCCATGTGTTTGATGTGTTCTTCCAGGTACTTGTTGAAGCAGGGTTGCTTCTAGAAGCTGGAAAACTGTTTGATAAGTTGTTAAGTTATGGTGTTCTTGTCTCTGTAGATTCTTGTAATTTGTTTCTGACTAGGTTATCTAGCAATTTTGATGGGATAAAGATGGCTATTAGGGTGTTCAATGAGTATCCGGAAGTGGGTGTTTGTTGGAACACCATGTCTTATAATATTATTCTTCATTCTCTTTGTCAATTGGGTAAGGTAAGAGAAGCACATAGTCTGCTCTTACAAATGGAGTTTAGGGGAAATGTTCCTGATGTTGTAAGTTATACCAGTGTTATTAGTGGATATTGTCAAATTGGACAGCTAGAAAAGGTCTTGAAGCTCATGGAAGAGTTGCAGAAAAAAGGATTGAGACCAAATCAGTACACCTACAATAACATAATTGTCCTTCTTTGTAAGACTGGTGAAGTAATTGAAGCGGAGAAAGTCTTGAGGGAGATGACAAACCATAAGGTTTTTCCTGATAATGTAGTCTATACAACTCTCCTCAGTGGTTTCTGCAAGTCTGGGAATGTTTCAGCTGCATACAAACTCTTTGATGAAATGAGGCATAAGAAAATAGTTCCTGATTTTGTGACATATACTTCCATGATTCATGGGCTTTGTCAAACTGGAAAGATGGTGGAAGCACACAAACTGTTTAGTGAAATGTTAATTAAAGGGTTGGAACCTGATGAAGTTACCTACACTGCCCTTATTGATGGGTATTGCAAGGCCGGGGAAATGAAAGTGGCTTTTTCTCTTCACAACCAGATGGTTGAGAAGGGTCTGACTCCAAATGTTGTCACTTATACTGCATTAGTTGACGGCCTTTGTAAACGTGGAGAGGTAGATATAGCGAATGAGCTTCTTCATGAAATGTCTGGAAAGGGCCTTCAACCAAATGTCTGCACATACAATGCAATTATCAATGGTCTTTGTAAGATAGGAAATATAGTGGAAGCAGTAAAACTTATGGAAGAAATGGATTTGGCAGGGTTTTATCCCGACACTATTACATACACTACACTCATGGATGCTTATTGTAAGATGGGGGAAATGGCCAAGGCTCACGAGTTGCTGCGAATTATGCTTGATAAAGGACTTCAACCTACAATTGTTACATTTAATGTGCTAATGAATGGGTTTTGCATGTCCGGAATGTTGGAAAATGGTGAAAGACTGATCAAATGGATGTTGGAGAAGGGTATAATGCCAAATGCCACAACATTCAATTCTCTTATGAAGCAGTACTGCATTAGAAATAACATGCGTGCCACTACTGAGATTTATAAGGCGATGCATGCTCGAGGAGTGATGCCTGATAGTAACACCTGTAATATTTTGATTAAAGGGCATTGTAAAGCTAGAAATATGAAAGAGGCATGGTTTTTGTATAAAGAAATGGTTGAAAAGGGATTTAGTCTCACGGCTGTGTCCTATAATGCTCTTATAAAAGGTTTCTATAAGAGGAAGAAATTTGTGGAGGCTAGGAAGCTATTTGAGGAGATGAGAATGCAAGGGTTGGTTGCCGAAAAAGAGATATATGATATTTTCGTTGATGTAAACTATGAAGAAGGGAACTGGGAAATTACTCTTGAGCTTTGTGATGAAGCAATAGAGAAATGTCTTGTTAAGAAAACTTAGTTGACTTTTGTCTATGCCAGTTTATGATCGAATTATCGGGGCAGCAATCGTTGTTTTTTGTTGCTTATTCTCTCTTGGTGGTTCAGTTGAAAGTAACTTTATTACACCAATTACTCTCATCATTAAAAGAGTGACATTTGAATTCCAGGTATTCTGCAAAACACTGAAACAGATTATCACACAAACACACAAAAACAGAGGGATATTGTGTTGGGATATTAACATCCTCAAATTCAAAAGGACACTTCAAGATTTTTTTGAGGATATTGTGTTGGGATTGCGCAGGATGGATGTGCTGTAGCCTGTATCCCTTGTTCCCCCTCACTATAAGAAACAATTGTAATAGAGATTTTTGTTTTAATAGAAAGATGTAAATAGAGATTTTAAATTAAATTTTGCAACCTTATTTTTTTCTGGTGTAGTTTTGCCATCTGTTATTATAGAGAACTGTGATCAATGATGATGGACTACATAGTTGATTTAAGTGCTGGAATTTTAAATTCCTTTAGGGGGCGTTTGGTTGAGGAGAAATTTTTTGAATACTAGAAAAATGTAATAGATAGGGAAATGATTGGAAAGTGAGATAAAGTGAGATAGGTAAGAAAATGTAAAAAAAAGTTGTTTGGTGAGAAAAAATTTTACTGGAAAAATTAGGTAACTTTTATGAAATCAACAGTATATTACCCGGTTTTCCAAAAAAACCATCCTCAAATTTGATTTCTAAACAGTGCGGATATCTATCTTTCTCAACAAAAGTTGATAAAGCCATACAAATTGCATAGATGGAAATTTGGTGAAAATCTATTCAAACAAACATTGTGTTTCTAAAAACCATACTTGATTTTCCAAGGAATTTGTTGAAAAGAAGGGAACCAAATACCACCTTAAAGAATCTGACCGAAATTTCTATCTTTTGTTTTACTTGAAGGAAGCACTACAGCTGATCTAAAAAGTAAAAAGATTATATTTTGTGACAAAATTTAATTTAATTTGTTTGAATCTATTAAAGTGATTTCTAGGTAATTTAGTACAGGGAGTAAATTTAATTGCAAGAAATTTTAGTTGTACCTAGCTGATTCAAACTGTTCATCAGAATAATAATAAGAGTAAACCCTCAACTTGGTTCTCCAAAGATTAGGGTGTTATCACATTTGTCCTCTAAAGAATTTTGTGATAAAATTAGTCCCTCAAACATTTAAAATGTCACCACATTAGTCCTCTCAAGATTTTGTCACCAAATTATTCCCTCATAAATCTAATTCGTCATTTTGTTTTGCCATTTTAGTCTTCCATAAGGACAAATATGGTGGTGTTTTAAAATTTTGAGGGACGTATTTGGTGAAAAAAATCATGGGAGGAATTATGTGGTAACAGTTTAGATATTTGAGAGTCTAATTTGGTGACAAAAACCTGTTGATAGTCACCACTAGGCACTAGCCCAGTTGTGGTGGCTTTCTTTCTTTCTTCTTTATATATATTTATACTTAGGCCTGTTTGGTTTTCTAAAATTTGCTTTCTATCTGAATGCTAAGAATTTTCTGTCATGGTAGCATAGATACCTTTATATATCCATCTTGACGTTCTTAACCTTTTCTATCTTAGTTCTCTGCTTTGATTATTTTTCTTACAGTGTTTCTGATACTTGAAGAACATAAAGGACATTGTGATTACCGAAATTATCTCACTAGTCTCAACTCTCAGTTGCCTCTGGAGATATACTAGAGGCAGAGGAAAAGTCAAGTATGCTTCTTTCTCAGAACTTTTGTATAAATTATTTGTACATTACTTCTCATATTACTTTTATTTCTTTATTGACAACTTCAATATTTGATCATTCTATTTAGCCACGTTAATATTGTTTGAGGGGACTACTTTCAGCTTATCATATTTTGTTAGGCCTGTCTACTTTTGACAGTGATTGCATCATTTTAGCCTCAAACCTAAAGAATTAAAACTTGTTAGTCCGTTCATCTGCTTATAGTGATGATGCCTGGATAAAAGCTGGTTTAAAAGGTGAGATATGTTGATGGTTTTGGTTACTGTTAGCTGCTGCTGTCGCATGTTGTAATATACTCACTGGTCCTCTCAAAAGAGATGCTGATGAGCTAATGAAGAGTGAAACTCTAATAGGAAAACTGAAATCAATATAATGGCATAAAGCTGGCATTTGGTACCTTCATTCCTCCTTGGGATCCAATTTTTGCTATTATAGCGGCTTTATCTAATTTAGTGTCGATTAGAAAGGTTTTGGTAGGCTTTGCTCATTTTTTCTCTTTGTTGAGTGAAAAACCATATACCCATATGTGTTTGTGAGAAAAGCTTGAGTTGTTTTTTTTTTTTTTGGAGGAATGTCCCCACCCATTTGAATGAGACTAATCTCCTTCGTGGCGTAGAGCATGAAGCTTGAGCTTTTTTTTTTTTTTTGATAACAGAAGCTTGAGCTTTTACCTTTAATGTTTGTGGGTTTTGGCAAACATTGAAGAGCAATGGATATAGCTATAAAGATTTGGATTTGAGTCTCTTTGGCATACTGACTGCTCAGAACAGTGAAATTAGTTCTGAGATGAGTCAAGTAGTAGAGATTTTTTCTCTAGTACTTCTATATGATTAGCTTTTGTAATCATGTAAAGGGAAAAAGAAATGTATGCAGAATGTGAGTAGGATTTATGAAAGATATATGTAAATGGTGGATTTTGTAACATCAAGTTGTAGTCTTTCAATAATTAAGTTGATACTTTTCTGATGTTATTGAGTATAGATTAGATCTCCTTTCCCAAATGGGGTGGGCTAAAAGCTGAGTTTTAATGATTGTATTGAAGGCAAAATATATCTGCGTTGCTTCTAATATAATACGTGAAAGCCACTAAAAGCTTATGCTCATCTCTGTCTTTTTACGTATACATAATTCCTAATCTGGCACCATTCAAAGTTAATGTTCCATTTGGTGCAAGTAATTTGTTTATATATATTTCAGCAAAGCTGTGGACACCAATCACGGCTTCTAAATGAATATAATATCAAATTTTGTTGCTTTTCTACCTCCTCTCTCTTAATTAGTTTCGGAAATTTTAAAATACTTTGGGTATGGTATGATACATAACAATGTAGCTAAATATTTTAGGAACATTAGTTTTTTTTTTTTTTGGTGTGGTTTAGGAGCATTAATTTATTTGTCGAATTTATTTATTTTTAAATTAAAATAGAGAAAAGTTCACCAATGCCCCCGTGATTTACTTCAGAATCACTTGTGCCCCTATGATTTTTTTCTTATCACATATGTCCTTGTGGTTTGTAAAAGGGTATGTTTTTTATCACATATATCCCTGTGGTTTCTTATTTTTTACAAAGCACAGGAGCATATGTGATAGGGAAAAAATCGCAGGAGCATAAATGATTCTGAAGCAAATCACAGGGGCATTGGTGAACTTTTCCCATTAAAAATAAGCAAAAGTTACTCTTTATTGAGATTACATTATTATCATTTGATGACTGAGAAAAAATAATTTGAAAACTAATTTGATGTAAAATTGGGGATCTACTCTTTCTTATATATATATTAGAGAAAAATATTTCTGCAGTTAATGCAGATAAATTATCTGCATTTACTTCCAAAACTTTGGATTGAAAGATTAGAAAATTATAATTATAAAAACTATAATAACCCTGAAATAAATTAAAATTACAAAAACATTATGATTTTCGTCCTAAAACGATGTCGTATTGAGCTTATTGCAGAGAACTTATCTGTAGTAATTACAGAAAAAATGAACTCTGTATATTATCCATATCACATTTTAACACAATTGCACTCTTGGGACTTGAAGTCGAGACTACTGATTATAAATGGGAATAACTCTTTATTAGTTGATCCAAGTGTTGAGATGGGGATCTACTGTTATTACATACAATGCAGATAGAATATCTAAGAATTTACCAGCGTGGTAGACGGATACAGCTACCTCCAAAGGAGGATTGATTCATGTGTTAGCTATTGGTCAAGCTACTTTTCTCAGACATTTAGTTGGTGAAAATATTTTGAAATAAAGTGCAAATACCTTAATAACGTCCTCGAGTATTAAGAAGGTCCCTGCAAAAAAAGTTGTGTTTTCTTCACCAAACTTTCATGTGTCAAATTCGTGAAACATGAAGATATCAGCATCGTGTAACCTTCTGAGCCACAAAATCTAATAACCTTTCCTCGTACCATGATGTACCATGATGATTATGCATTTAAGTACACTTGTGCAGTTAATAAAAGTGCACAAGCAAGTAGGTCTATTAAAACTAGTGGTTGGTAGTTTGGTACCACAACTTCATCTATCATTCCATGTTTTTGTTATGAACTAACTAACCTCTTAAAACCCCTACATCAACTAATCTTCTTGTGGCCATTGGTTCATTCTTCTATTTATAGTCATCCATGTATCAACACCAAGTTAGAGTTGTAATTTTATTCATGAAGAGATCATGACAAAGAGTGAGGTGAAGCTGTTGGGAACATGGGCAAGTCCTTTAGCGTTGAGGGCTCGGATAGCTCTTAATATAAAAGCAGTGGAGTATGAGTTTCTTGAGGAAAATATGGAGTCCAAAAGTGAGCTTCTTCTTCAATCAAACCCTGTTCATAAGAATATCCCTGTTCTCATTCACAGGGACAAACCCATTTGCGAGTCTTTGGTCATTGTGCAATATGTGGATGATGCCTGGTCCTCTGGCTCCCCTATTCTCCCTTCTGATCCTTATGACCGCGCCATTGCTCGCTTCTGGGCTAACTATATTGACGATAAGGTATAAATTTTTGTTAAGCCCATGTCAATGTTCTCTGACTTTTATATATGTCATTGATATTTAGTAGTTGAAAATCACCATCATTCTTCATTCATCAAACCAAACTGAAACTAGAATCCAGATATAACCTTTGTCCATTCGCCACTTTTAATATGCCTAGGAATGTTTTTAGCATAGTGAATGCAAGAAATAGTGTCAACCAAAATTGCTACTAAGCTCACAAAAGGATCATTTATTATGTGAGTCTACTTTAGATTTACAATATGCTAATTACAATAGTCAAACATGTGAAGTTTTAGTAACACGGAGGTAATACCAACAATTGTGTCAAGGTTTCTATATTAGAGATATAATAAAATTATTCATTGGTCTTTCTACAACAGCTTTTGGGGAGACTTGGTTATTAAGCGGCATTTGATAGAAGAGAATTTTTTTTATTATTTGGGAATCACTATTTTTTGAAATATGGTGGAAAAGTGAGTTTTTCATAAATATTAACAAAAAATTGTTTGATAGACCAAAATATTAACTTAAGTTTAGTCTATATTTTTCATTTTCCTGAGAAAGTGAGAATACCATCTTTTGGATGGTATTGTTGGATGGTATTTTGTTTACATTTTACTCAAAATAAAATTCCGAATTTTTTTCAGAAATCTTCTACCAAACATGGATAAATTGAATTACCACCCTCACTATCATAGAAATCTGAAAATAAACTCTCTACCAAACACCCCCTACACCCCCTAACAGGAGGATTAAAGTATGGGCTTTCAACTTCATTCGTAGGGGGGGAAGTTGGTGATTTCTTATTGAGAGAGAAAAAAGGTGAAACTCACCTTTAAAAAAAAAGAGTTGGCACAAAAATTGAAGTGAGAATAACATGGAAAAAAAAAATTCGCGTAAAAGGAGAAGTAAAGTTTATGACGAAGTGATTTAGAATTTAATCATTGTTATGTCGTTCTTATAATAAGAGGTTCAAATTTCAGCACAAGGTAATAAAGGGTCTTTATATTATCCACGCATGCATCAAAACCAAAATCCAAAAAAAATAAAAAAAAATCATTTCCCTCCCTTGTGTGTAAGGCGCAAGCTATGAAATATGAAATTTTAAAAGTGGAAATTGTGTGACTTGCAGTGGCAACCGACCATGAGATCCATTAGAGGAGCAGAAGGAGAGGATGAGAGGAAGAAATTGATACAAGAGGTGGGAGAAGGATTGGCTTTGTTGGAGGATGCGTTTATAAAAAGCAGCAAAGGCAAGAACTTTTTCGGTGGTGACCAAATTGGGTTCCTGGATATTGCATTTGGTAGCTTCTTGGGGTGGCTTAGGGTAACAGAAATATCCAATGGGGTGAAGTTTCTTGACCAAATCAACACACCTAAGCTGGAGAAATGGGCTGAAAGGTTCTGTGCACATGATGCTGTCAAAGATGTTACGCCTGAGATAGGGAAGCTTCTTGAGTTTTCTAAGATGCTAAGCGCCAAGATGGCTGCTTCTACTCCAAAGTAAATGTTCTTTTTTTTTAACAAATTAGCAGGGCATGCATGCATGCATGCAGTGTTGCTGAGGTTTTGAATTTTGTAGTTGGAACTTGAATACAAGTCTTGTCACTCTTGTGTGCTTCGTTGTTTTGTCGTAGAGCTAAAAAAAATTTGGTCGGCTCTTGGCCGTTTTTAGTTTGTCTTCTATTTGTGTGATGACAATTCCATATTATTAAATACAAGTTAATCTTTTTTTTTTTTTAACAAATTAGCAGGGCATGCATGCATGCAGTGTTGATGAGGTTTTTAATATTGTAGTTGGAACTTGGAATACATGTCTTGCCACTCTCGTGTGATTCGCTCTTTTATTATAGAGCTGAAAAGCGACTAAGAATTATTAAATAAAAATATGATAAATATTTTATTACCCGTGGACTTAGGGGTGTAAATAAGGGTATGATAAATATTTTATTACCCGTGGATTTTGGCATGCAAATGGGGTCAACCGGCCTTGTTAAAATTCACAAACTTGATTTAGGTCAATTGGGCTTATTTGTTAAATGACCCAATATTTAGAAATACCCAAGAGATGTTTAGTTCAAATTCTAGAATAATTCAATCTAGATATCTTCATAAAAATATCTACAAAATAGTTGTATCTAGAAACCACCATCATAAATAACTAGCCAAAGAGATTGTAGAGAATTTTAGAGAATGATTTGTAGGTATTAGATGAGAATTGTGTTGGCACAATTCTAGCCATTGATTAAAGAGATACCACTAATATAAATATGTGTGTTCTCCACCATTTTGTATTAAGCCAAAAGAAAAAAGAGTTCAGTAAAGATAAAGTATTCTTATACTCCAAATCTTTCTAAAATTTTTCTTTTCTCAAATATCCTCCTTCCAACAGGCCTACGACTCGACTTATATTAGGTCAAGTTCGGCCTATTACATATAGTCAAATAGAACAGACTTATGCTTCAAAAAAAGTTTATTTAGAAAGCAGGTCATAAGCTTTCTTTCATATGCCAGTCTTATAAGATTACAGACCGACTTATATAATATTATTTATTTTAAATAAAATAAATAAACTATTATTTTAATGATTTTGAATAATAAAATAATATTTTAATTATTTTTTTAATTATTAAATGCCTAATATGCTTAAACAGCCTAACAGGCCCAGGCCAAGGCTTTTGTTTTTTTAATATAGGTCAGACCATATTTATAATTAATAATTTTGGCATTTACAAGGCCAGACCAGACCTAAAATATTTTACACAGGTCTGGCTTATTTATGCCAAAATATAGCTCGGTCTAACCTATTCACACCTCTACCCGTGGTGCATGCTTTTGCTTCATTTTTTTTAAAGACTATTCATGTAACATCTATATATATATATATATATATATATATATATATAAAATAATAATAATAATAATAATAAAGTAATATAATTTTTTTTAAACTGAAGGGGCTAACATGGGATCATCTCCTCCAGATAAAAGAATAATATTTTAATAAAATATTATTATATTATGTATTAAAAAATACAAAATTCCATCTATATAAATCCCTTAAGGGGACAGGTAACTCACGACAAAGTGAGAAGAAAAAATAAAGAGGGAGAGAGGAAGAAAAAGAGAGAGAATGAGAAAGAAATAGAAAGATAATATTTAGGGTGCGCATGACAACCTTCCCGGAATCAATTTTTTTTTTTAATTTCTGTTCCCGGGAACATAAATGGATAGAAAACTCGTTTAGTAAAATCGGTTTATTTTTTTGTTCCCGGATGAACCAGATTAATTTTTGTGCTGGGGAACAGAAAAAAGAATCAAAAAATTTCTGTTTTTTTGTTCCCGGGCACAAAATGAGAAACACTTATATCTCTTAATTACTCTCTGTCTATACCATCATCCCCACCACCATCATCTTCCCAACACGACCACCGCCATCATCGTCGCCGCCGCCGTCATACCATTAGTGCTGTCGTGACCACCCCCACCCCACGATGCCACCGCCACCATCACCACCACCTTCACCCATCACTACCACCATGCCACCATCACCATCACCACCACCACAACAACTACCACCGCTGCAACCACCACCACCACCACCATTATCGCCATCACCGTCACCACCACCATCACCACTATCGCCATCAACCACCACCACCATCATCGCAATCACTGCCGCCATCGCCACCACTACCATCGCCACCATGCCACTACCACCACCACTACCATCGCCACCACTACCACCACCACAACGCTGCCACTACCATCACCACCACTATCATTGCTGCAGCCACCACCGACACCGACACCGCCACCAACCACCACCACCATCGTCACAGCCACTACCGTTACCACCACCACCACCATCGTCACAGTCACCACCACCACCACCACTATCACCTACCACCACCGCCACTGCCACCACCACTACCACCTCCATGATGCCATCACAACCACCACCACCATGCCACCGCCACCAATGCCACCAACCACCATTGTCCCAGCCACTGCCGTCACCTCCACCACAACCATCTCTACCACTACCACCGCCTCCGCCACCATCACCACCGTCATCGCCACCATTACCACCGCCATCGCCACAGCCACTTCCATCACAACCACCACCACTATCATCACCATGTCACTGCTTCCACCACCGCCGCCGCCACCGCCACAACCACATCATATGGAAAGGAAAGTGATGATCCGAATTTTTTTTTACATTTAATAGGAATTATTTTTATTATGTTATTTGTTATGTTATCAAACGTAATTCTCATTCTCGGAATAAAAATAGAACATGTCGTGAAACACATTTTTTTTCTCAGAGATTTTTCCAAGGAACAGAAATAGAAAAGAATTGTTTCTTTTCAGAAATAGTGCTAGGGAATAGAATGGTTGTCATGCACACCCTGAGTGAACTTCATTTTGTTTCACTCTTTTTTTTTATCTATTTCTATGTTTAAACTTTTATCTTTTTTAGTATCGGGGAACATTATTTTTTCTAAAGTTATGGAGGCACTATTACTATGGAAAACCATTTTCTCATATGTTTTTTTACGCTTTGATTTTATGAATTTGTTGGATCTGCTCATATTGGTTATGAAAATGGTACTGGATCAAGATTATGAAACATATTATGAAACTATTGATTTGTTAAATGTATTTACAATATTCCTTTGGTACCAAATAAATATTTAAAGAATACGTAATTTTTAACTAGAAATTCTGATGTGAACTGACCAAGGAAGTTCGAAATCAGACAATAATGTTGTAAGGGACACCTTACTTTGGCTATGAGCTCGGCTTCTCAATAACCTTTCACATTCAGAGACCCTCAGAGGCTTGGCATTTCGTAGTTTCAATTAAATATTGCACGTTCTTTCTTATATTTATTATTACAATTATTGTTGAAATAAAGATTTTTATCATAAACATACTTACAAGGAATGATATTTTCTGTTATAGCAGTTGGACTTGTTATAGTTTGAAAACCTCAATATTACTAAGATTTATCTCACTTTATGTATATTTATGGTAACATTTCCATAAAGTAAAAATGCCTAGTCTATGTTTGACAGTTGATAGATGGGGAATAACAGTCAACTGTTATGAGGATCATATGGAGTTTTATGTTGTGCTTGGAGAAGAAAGAGCGTATGTTATTCTACCATGACAGAATAGAAACTTTTGTGTATAGAACGGACTAAGTGGGACTTAATCAACACATCTACTAATTGTAATAGTAAATAGGTCTCATATAGTTTAGATGTTTGCACATCACCTTTGCTCATATAATCTAATCTAATATAGATGTAATAGTGAGATTGACTTTACATCTAATGTATAATTATCTTTAAGGATGTTATGTCATTCGCCTTCCTTTACAACCATTTTTTTTAGTATCTCATATCCCTTTATTATTTTATAATTTTTTTTATACTTTTATTTAAATTATTTTTTGGATTAATCATAGGTATCCTCCACAGGATGCAATCCTGTTCGGGTGGGTCTAGGATTCAGACTTTAAACTCCTCCCAAAGATGGTACCGGGAAGGATCGAACATGATTACCTATTATTTAAAGTATTAATGTGATATTCTCTATGCTAATTAGTTATAGGGGGCATTATAATTCAGATAAATTTCAGTTACAAAATAAGTTGTACTTAAAAGAACAAATTCTTATAGTTCGGATGACCAATGTTTGGTACAGAGGACTCTTAAGAAGCATTACGTACCATAGCTTGATGAGATGGTATATCGCAAAATTCTCATATACACAAGTCTACAATTATACTTTTTTGATAGATGTCAATGTGTTGAAAGTGTAATGATATAACTTATTTACTTTCGAGTTTAAATCTTTTCACGGAGAATTTGAGCTCTAACATCAGTTTGTGATGTTTAACAAATAATAAAGTGATAAAGTATAATTTGATTAATGACAATTTTAAATATCTAAAAAAATAAAAATGATGAGAAAATAATAAGAAAATTAAATTAAATTAAAAAAGAAATAAGAGTTATCAGAATAGTTTTAATTGATGAACTTCTTCTACAAGTGATTTGATATAGCTTTAACCAATGAGTCTTCACTGGAACAGTATGTGAGTGTATCTACAAGACATTTTGATGCTCAAGTCTGATTTTATGTAAGTAGGCTTATTCATATAGAAGAATATGCATACCCTTGGTTAACACACTTGTATTTATAGTGTAGGGATTACCAGCTTTAGGGGATGCCCCTGATTGCTTCCTCCAAGTGGTGAGGCAACAATGTCTCTAATTGATCCTTGTGTAGGTGGCTTGAGATGGCTATTCTAGAAGAGTTGTAGAAGTAACATAGCAAAGGTATGTGCCAACCTTTTTGACTAAAAGCCCTTCTTGCTTTGAATTTCCCAATATGTCCTTCTTACTCTTCAATCTAGGCTCTTGTTCAAGAATAGCAATAACATTATCATTGAAAGACAAGTTGTTAGTTACTCTTTTATTTGTTATGTTGATAATGAGTAGATAGTATAAAGGAAAAATACATTCTCCTGTTGCTGGAGAAAGTAATCTCCTGTTGTCCATACATCAAAAAATGTGCCACGCTTTTTTTTATAAAGGTGGGAATTGAAAAAATTCTT